ACGTGAGGGGTGCTAATACCTTCCCCTTGCGTAACCGACTCCCGAATCCAGGTTTTGGTTGCGACGACCATACCTTTCCCGTTTTTTGCGAGGTTTACTTCGAGCGTTTCCTTTCCCTCCGTTGGGATAAATAACGCACGGTGGCGACTCTTCTGTCAGCCGGCGCCGATTTTCGCAGTAGCGACAGTCATGAACATAGTTAAAAGAATTTAATAGCCTTAACAAGTCAAACTCACAAGCATAACTTACTAAGCTAAAGAATTAACACACCTAGATGTTAAGAAATTTAGTATGACAACACAATCTTACATGATTCACATGAACCCCTTCATGCTCATAAGAGAAAAAAATGGATCACAAATCTTGAACCATAACCAATAGACTCTTGGATTGAGATCAATTAACACCATCGATCACTCTCCTCCCGAACACATCCACACACTGTACAAATTCATCTTGAACATTACAACCATAGACAATCTTATTCTTTGGGAATAAATCCAATCAAACCTAGAATGCTCACATCCCCTAAAGAGACATATACATTCTCTTAACTTCTTGATTAGTCAATATATCATCCATACTTGGAAGACATCAAACCCCTTCACCATATAAAGTGATATACAATCTCAGCCTGCTACCTTCTCAAGATTCAGTCTGATACAATCCTTTCTAGAGATACTTCCAGCATAACCTACCATCTGCACATAGATAATCAGAATCCACACAATCTTAACCACACTCCATAATGACTAGATAATTCACTTATGATCCAACTGGTGAGTAACAAACTCCACAACATGAACACCAAGTTATCTCCCATGGATATACCGCTTTCCTTTCTAAAGAGATAGCCAACTGAAATGATGTTTCAAACATAAGTTAAGAAATCATCCTCAATCATAAGACTCATATCCTTTGGTTCTTGAGTCAACATCTATAGGAATAACTCTTTGCATGGTAATTCATACACTTCTATTTTCATTGAACACGTGAGGATTCCAATAGATCACAGGTGCAGTAACTCATAGACCATCATAGGAGGCAGAATACCATATAGAGAAATAAACTCTCACAAGCCTCATGAAGCTTCAACTCAAAAGCGCAATGTTTAGACATCCTGTCTGACATTAAAGAGTCATCACCCAACCTTAAGCATCCAAAAGGAGATTCCTTTTAATAGATATCAGTATGATTGACACTACACACGAAGGTATAAACTGAGCATCATACCGTAAGCAGACTTCTCAGAAAGGTCTACTTCTCTTCTTCCCTTCAGTCCCCTATCATTCAGAACTCCACCTTGCAAGAACACAATAACTTCATATAGAAATATTGAGCTTTTACCATTGTATGATTCACAAAGGTTGAGATAGACTTTAACACTAGCCATATAGATGAAGAACACATAATCCTAAAGTGACCATCCTTTAACAAAAAGACAACTTCAGTGCAAACTTATTGCCTTTAGCATGAGTATTCTGATGTTCAACACAATATCAGGATACTTGAAAAAGTACATCAATGACTTGACTAGCCAATTGATGAACCATACTGAGTTCCATCTTGGCTGATACAGTATAGAGAATCTATCCCTTTTATTCTTGCAGAGGCCATCTCACAATGAAGGACTTCTCCATCACAACAGAATAAGAGTTCATAGACATGATGACAAACTGCTTCAAGCACAATTCTCCAAGAGACTCATCAACACCCGATCATAGTCCACATCTCATCTTAGAAGAGGTAGTCACAAGATAGGCACACTATTTGTAAGATCACATAGATCTAGCTTTGAAAGACCGGGGAACACTCCAAGATGTCAGAGTGAATGTCCTAGATATTTTCTTTGACTTCTATATGCACAAAATCTGGTAGAGATGTCTTTACAGTCCTCCTCTAGGAATTTGAACACATACTCCTATCGAATATACAAGAACAAAGCTTCTTCGCCCTTAAGCGCTTAGATCAGAAATAAATTGACCCAACAAAAGTACATCAAGAAGACCATGAGTTAATCTGGACTTCCACCAGTACACTTATCCATAACAAGTTTCTTGGATAGAGGTTTCCTAGGCTACAAACTAAATGACTCCTCAGGACCAATCTGAAAAAGATTCTCACCACTATTGATAAACATACATTTGTTTATCATCCACAACATATGCTACATTTCTTCTTTGTCCGAGAAGTTCACTCCTTGGATCAACAAGATATTTCACACACTATTCTGAAGTGATGTTTCAACATCTGGTTGATCATTAGTTTCTTTTCCCATGAACAGGTCATTGAAATTGGTTCTGAAATTGGTGCAACTGTCTGAAGTTGCACCTTCAGGAGTGACATTTTTTACCTCACCAATAAAAAGGATAATCGATTAAATACTTGTTAAGTCCACAAATATAAATTGATTTTAAATTCCAATTATGTATTCTCTAGTCACAAAATGTCATAAGACACCCCTTCTTACTCTAGCAACAATCTAAAAATGAATTTTTCAAAGCATAAATCTTCTGTAGAGGACCATCTTCTCTTCTGAACACATTCAGTAGAGCCTTTATGAGTAGACTTGAGAAAAAACTCAAGTATCTTGGGCTACCTTAAACATAAAATAGAGTGTTTACCAAATCCATAGGTCATGAATTTGATAAACAAGCCATCGACTCAACCTTTTCCTCTTATTACCCTTCATGGTACCTGTTTGACCAGTCTCCCAAGCAACAAGGGAAGATCCTTTAGAGGAAAACATATCACAATGCTTGCTCCTTTGCATACCTCTCAACTAGCGATGGCATGAACATCTAGAGAGGCTGACCCCATTTTTAACAAGCCAGGACAAATGTTAGAATACTTTATAAGGCACCATGCTTAGCAATAACATCATTATTAGCAGCATCAGAAGAATCTATACAGAGGTATCAGTCAACCATCAGTAGTTGTCAGGCCAGATTCAGAAAACTATCCTTCTAGCATCCAATCACCTTGAACATAACAATAATGGATGGTCTGATCACACAATCTCCTTCCTTTTTCAAAATACCAGAAAGCATCTTCTCTAGAACTCATCCAGAGATAGAACATGATGCATGCTCTGATACCAACTGAAATTATGGTATACAGATCTCAGATGTCCCAAGAGATGTTGAGACATTGATTTCTGTATAGCTAAATAAGGAATTAACAGAACAGACCAGAACAAACTGATATGTCAAAATCATAATAATGTAATAACAGATGTTTCAACATCTGTTAAGACATGTATTTTAAAGCAAGAGACATAACTGAAATATTCATAACAAAATGATAAATAATGCCAAGATATGATGACTAAGTTCGGTGCACAACAACACCTACATCTGAGGGCTACCAAGTCAGGAATGAGTTCACTATCAGTAGTATTAATTCAGAGCTAAACAACCTCTGATTTAGAACTCCTCACTTAATCCCTACCTAGCGCAACTTCTACCTAGAAATCACCATCTAGATAAGAGAAACCCATCGCAATTCTTAAATCACCTCAGTGATATCTAACAGTCACAACCTCTGGTGACTATATCAATGTGTTCAATTAAAAGACACCCTTCTCAATACAATATTCAGTCAAGACTCTAAACAAACAATAATGCTTGAATTTGCTTAATAGTTTCATCCAAGAACAATATACAATTCATTACCTACATGTTTCTGAATATGTAGCACTATGTCTACCATAATGTATCAAACCTGATACAAATGGTGACTTATAATACAAGAAAGTCACACCACTCTCAAAATCCTAAAACCTTATTTTACTATACAAAAATCTTTACAAGGAATCCTTCTTTGCTCTAGGTCTTGGTCTTTCTTTTATAATCTTCAGCAGTCCATGGGCTTCGAAGTCTCTGTCTAATCTTTCTTTGATCCACGTTTTGATTTCCCTTAAAACTTGGAACAGATCTGCAACAAACCTGCTGCATTAAACCAAGATGTCAAGTCCTCAAGATAGGAAGTCTTGTCTGACACGTTGTTCTTTTCAGATTTCTTCATGTTAGAACATCTTATGCAACATCATATTTTATTAAAATTTGATCAAATCTTAGAGCCTTCAAGATGAACCTACTATATCATGCATAATTGTATCCATCAAATTTTGGTGAGCCTGTAATTGAATTCAATTCATCACTTGGAATGACATGATAAACCCAATCTAGTTAAGATTGAGGTGCTTGCCATTGTTTTTTTGAGGTGCCATTGATGGATCAACAATTAACAAAATGAGAAACATAAAAATTTGTATAAATTGATTTGACAAAAAGCAATAAGAAACCTATTTTGCAACAAGAAATAATAAGAGAACAAGATGAATCACAACAGAATCAAGAAGAAAATGGATCGAATTGAAAACTTATTCAAAAAAAGCTCTAGATATAATAACATGTACAAAGCAATATGGCTTTATTTGATTGAAGTGAACCCTTACAAATACAACTTATAGGTGAAGTAGGTTCCATACTCTACTAGTTAGGAATGGATACAGTGGATTATGGTCACCATCTAACTTCTAACTACCACTTGCTATATTAGGAATGTTTACATAACAAGTTAGTTTTAGTCTAACTAACTAGTAACTTCTTGCTATATTAGAAAAGTTTACATAACAACTTGTGACTTCTTTTCATCTTCATTGTCAATTGTGTGATACATATCATAGATATAACCATCTCCATGTTTGTGTCTAGAAATTCTATTACAAATATACCTCATTTTAGTCACATTATAAAGGTAAACTGTGCTTCAGCCACCCACAAGAAACCATTTAGTTATAGACTCATTTATCAAATATACACTAAGAATGAGATGAAAAGAAAAAAAAAACCAAGAATTTAATTAATCTCATAAACCAAACTTCACACATAGTGTTAATGTGAAGCATTATACAATTTTGCATAAGAAAAAAAAAGCACACGAAGCCTAAAATAAACTTCAAACAATGAGCTTCAAACATTGATGTAGCGAATTAATTACCAACATTCATACAAATTAATTTCCACACGAAGCCTAAAATAAACTTCACCTTCAATAGCATCAGTTGAAAGAGTAGCCACACCCCTAGTCATGAAAAAATCACCAGTCCCCCCAATTACCGAAATGTCCCTAGTCTTATTCATCAAAGGGTCAGCACCAGCAAAATTTATGGTACCCTTATGGACCGTAGAGTTAAAGACAAACGAGAAAGCAAACCAAGAAGTGAAAATTTCTTTCTTATCGTAAATGTAAAATCCTTGAGCACGACCAATAGGGTGAGAGTGTAAATTGTTGTCCATAGTGATTGGATCATCGAAAACAATTAAGTCACCAAAGTGGTTTTGGTTTGCTAAGGCTGTCGTGTTGCCCCATGGGGGTGTTCCTACGATTGCTGACGTGGCGTTTTTGGAGTTGTGACCGTTGAAAAGGATGTCGTGGAAGTAGAACGTTAGGGTTTTGCAGGGTTTGTGGAGTTGTGTTCTTTTTCTTGATTTGGTTGGAGTGGGAGAGGAATGTGGGATGGAGATTAGGAGGAAGAAGATGAGAGATGAAATGAGCTTCATCGGTTTGGTTTTTATGAATGTTTGATGTACTTGTGTGGGAGGTGTTGGGTTTAGGAAATTGATATTTATAAGTGGTGTTCACCAAATCCATTAAGTTAAAAATTAAATTTTAAAATTAAATTTTCATTTGGTAAATTTTTTTTGCACAAAATTATTGTAGTGCTGGTCTTACATATCAAATCACTTTTCCACAAAATATTTTTTTATGTTTGAAGTAAGCTTGTCTTTAAAGGTATGGTAAGGATGATAATCCAAGAATGGAATTACAACACAGAACAGATTATTTTTGTTTAGCTTTATTTGTACGACTTGCCAACAAATTAGACGCACCTGACTGAATGTTTTACAGCAAATATATGATTCTTCTCTAAGTCTCAATTTTCTAAATTTTAAAAATATAATTTGTGACTTTTGAATACCGACTAAATCATTATTAAATCATATTTACATGATGTATAGTGTGTTTAGGTGATTTAGTTGAGAGTTGGTTTTTTCTAATTATTTTATTTTATTTTATTTTTTGAGCAGGTTAGGTCTCTAGGAGGTATATCTAAAGTTAAATCTATTTATCTTGGGTTGACATTATGTAGTGTGTTTTTTTTATTTTTTATTTATTTATAGAAATCTTGAAATAAGTTTATTTTTTAGATTTGGAAACAACATTGGAGGAAGTGGTGAAAAGAGTTAGCTTTTGATATTAGATATATATTTTTTTAATATTTTCTTTACGTCTAATATTGGCTCTCAAATTCTTTCATGGGTTAAAAATTAGACTTTTACAAATAACTTTTGTTTACAGATCAATTTTTGGACTTTTACTAGATATTTCCCCAAAATACCAAAATTTTTGGATAATATATCTATCAACTTTTACCGGATTTTCAAAAATGTTAGAACCATAATTATGGAGTTATACCGGATTATTAGAAACATATGGTATAAATTCATTGTTTAAAAAGTTCGATATAGAAGTATAGAGTTGTACTAGATATTTAAAACATTCGATAATACTTTCAATTGGGTTATCGATATATTAAAATGTTAGGTATGTGTAGGGTGTTATCGAGGTTTTAAAATTTTTGATAGGTAGTAGAGTATTTTAATTTTTTTTGTTGACTTTTTTAGTAAGTTTTTGACATTATTAACGTTACAATACTATAATATAACATAACTTAACATATCTTATCATGAAAAAAAAACGTAACATAACATGATATAACTGAAGTTAGCGGAATTATACTTGAGTGAATTGCATACTCAAAGATACAATAGAGTTGCCTCCGAACTTTATTTAGTCCTAAAGGACATGGAAAATATCGATAAAACACAAAGGAAAGAGACACGGGTAAGGGGGTTGGTTATGTGAGGAAAATGTACTAGCACCCCACGCATCCGTCATACTCGAGGGAACCATTCTGCTTGCTTCTAGGTTGGATGACTCGCAGAGAATGGGGTCTTTCGTGCCTACGTATCGTCATAGTGCAATAAGGAATTTAGAGCTTCGTAGTTTATGGAACCAGGGAAAAGAAACGAGAAAGTGGCTCACTAAGATTTGGAATCTTGTGTCTACTTATCCTCATAGTGCAATGAAGAATTCAGAGCTTATGTAGTTCGGAGAACTAAGACAGAGAGAGAAAGGAAAATGGTGTCAAAATAAGAGCGAAAAGCAAAGAAATGGTGTCGAAACTAAGAAAGAAGGATAAGAGATAGGAGTGAAAGAAGGGCAATGAGTGATAGCAAGAGTGTTATAATCGAAACTCGGTGTTTGACTTGCCGGGAAAAGAGAGAAAGGACTCCGCTAAAGGAAAAAGGGAAGATACTCTACTGGGGAAATGGGAGAGTAAGAAATTGGTATTTAACCGACGGACAGTGATTAACCAAAGAAACGGGTGTTGAACTAAGAGAAGATGTTTAACCCAAAGAAAGATTGATTGATTTTAACAAACAGAATGTAAACAACCAAAAGAATGGGTGATGAGCCAAGAGGTGATTGACCCAAAGAAACTCAGTATGTTAACATATGGATTGTGGTTAACTAAGAAGACATCGATCTTGAACCAAGAAAATGGTGATTGATCAAAGGAGAGATTGAAAGGGTACGCGTGATCAAGGATCAACTTCGATGTGGATCGGGAGACACTACAGTCTGGAGATAGAGATGATTATTCCAGGCACATGGTCATTCGTCCCCTACCCAAAGTAACCAGAATGAGTGTATGAACTCTCCACTCTCATCCCTTTTCTAACATCCAAAGTATAGTGCAGAAATTAAAACTGACAGAGTAACAACGCAATTTGTACAATACTCCAATTTGTTGTGCAGACGTCTGACGCAGCAGGGGGTCAAAAAAGAGAAGCTCTAAAGAGATCCTAAAGAGAAGAGCGAGAGACAATTAATTAATCGAAATAAGGTTTCGATCAACAAATAAAAGGGAGGAAATTTCCAACAATCTTACAAGCGAGTCGAAAGATTATCAAAGTAGGTGTGAGAATAAAGTTGAACAAGATTAAATTTGCTCAATGAAGAACAAATCTAATGCATCAATTTGAAATTGCAAAGCATTAACAAGACATATTAACATGCATTTGTTCACATAAACACATAAGCAACAATGAGCAAAAACGCCTAAAACATGTGATGAAATCATGAAATAATCGAGGAAAATCGTGCGATTAATTGAGAAATAATTATTACAAGCATTTGATGAGCTAAAACAATAGCATTTACATCAATATGATCAGGCAAGGGGAAGTATATGAACAAATCATGCAAAACAACCCAAAACAGCAGGAAAATAGAAAAAAAATCACAACCGTAATTGATTATGAGAAATGATATAACTGGTTACCAAAGCAAAAAAATTGCCTCCCAGGGGCGTAGACAGGTGGTGTAATCAGTTACGCTAAATACTGTAATCGGTTACGCATGCAAAAATAGCAAAAACAACATTCAGAAGCATTTTTTCAGAATCACTCATTGAATGTAATCACAGTGTAACATAGCAGGCAAACAGATGAAAAATTCGTAGCAAATGAAAGCTAAAAGAATCAATCATGCAAAGCAAGAATTCAAACAACAAAGCAAAAACTAAGAACTACATTGCGAAATCGGCCGAAAATAGTAAATTAAGCAGAAATTCACCAACCTACAAGGCTGAGGTTTTCCTTGGTGATTGTTGAGCAGAAAATGTGATGCAAAGAAGCAAAGAAAACCAGAGAAATCCATGATCGTTAGCAACCCGTAGCAAAAATCAAAGAAAATGCGATAGATGCTTCAAATTTGAATTTGCACCAAAACTCTTGCAATGATCAACTTCCAAAGCTTGAGATGACATAGAAATTGTTGTTGCTGCAGAACTCAGAGAAGAAATGTAGTGGAATAGAGGTCTAGCTTAAAATTAGCAAGTTTCAATATGAAGTTTGCTAAGTTTTAATGGTGGAGTGAGCTCTAGTGAATTTTTGGTGAAGAAGATGAAGAGAGTTATAGAAAATGCAGAGCAAATTGAGAAAGTGAAGAGTGAAAAATTTAGAATGAAAGTAAAGTTTGATAAATGGTCCCTTGCAACAATGTGAAGGTTTGCTTATATAGAGTATATGCTTGGAGTGAGTGGAGGCTTGAAATTTGGTTTGGAGCTAGCTAACAGGGGTTTGGCATTTGGTTTGGAGTTAGTTAGACTCAACTCACTGAGTTGGAGTCTAACTCAGTTAATTATTTGTTAACTCAATTGAAGAATCCTAATACAACTTACTTGATCAAATGGTTCACATGCTTGGAAATGAGGGTGCATGATGAGTTTTATTGTTGCTGATGTATTAGAGGAAATGCAAGTGGTGTCTTGAAGTGTCTAGTATATTCCATACAATTCTAGAACAATGTAGACCAAAAGAATGAGATGGAAGTTGTTGTAGTGTGAAGAAATCAGCTGAAATCTATAAAATCCACAGCTGTAACCGGTTATAGAAAAAGATGTAATCGGTTACCAAGGCAAAAAAAAAATGCCTTCCCGGGATGATCCTCGTGTGCGTAACCAATTACAAGAAATGGCGTAATCGGTTACCACAACCAAAAGTCCATTTTTTGCTTGGAAATGCAATGGTTTGGCCACAGTTCCGCATTCCAACCTCACGCTTCGATGTATAGGCATAGAAATCCACCTATTTGGCCTATATCGAGGCTTTGGCGGCTCAGTGAGGAACATATTTATAGACTTGTGCTTTTTTGGGGATTTAGAATATATACATGAAATGAATTCACAGATAAAATTGTTGATGCGCATGCTAAGAATTTGGGTGTGCATGCTCATGCTAAAAGCAAAAGGGGAGGTCGAATTTCGGGTTACGACAAATGCCCCTATTTAATCCTCTTGGACCTGAATGTTCGAGTAGCTCAAAATTTTGGCCGATGGCGATGGCAGTGTATGGAAAATGGATGTGTATTGAGACTTTCATTAAGTGGAAATTGGCTGAATATCTGCTGGGGAGCTGAATTAGTCAACAAGGGATATGTTTGATGCGAATACAATGTATGCTTAGTCTTACATGATGCATGAGATTATGATTATGCAATGCTTTAAGTTATAGTGTTGTATTGCAGGTAGGTAGGGATTGTAGCAAAATAGGCTCTACATCCTCAGTTAGGGGAAGAGTACCATAGACAATGACGACTCCCTGAGGAACGAGCTTAGAATCTCAAATTTCTAATCTACTTCCACTACTGCTGACGGGAATAAAGGAACATGGACGATCTTCGAACAACAATCGTCGCTTGGGGAAGAATGAGGCTATGATGATCTGGATGATCACCATTGTTGGGGGAACAGTACTTATGACCTGCTAGGGATGCCACGAGGCTCTCACTCTTGCTGGGGAAAGAGACCAAACATGGCCCTGTTGGGGAAATGGAAGACAACCAACCTTCCAACAACCATGATGGTACTCACTGTGTATCAAGCTTCTAAGAACTATCGATCATCCTTTAGGGATTTCCGGTGAATCATGCG